GCAGATAAGTTATTTTTACATTTTCTCAAATGGTTTTCGTTATTAATAGAACATATTTTATCTTCATAGAGATAAAATTTCTGTCGAGATAAACTTGGCGCCGTGCTTTATATAAAGCACATTTTTCAACCTAAAATCAGACACGATATTTAATCCTTAACTGTGGACATTACACACTAGTAAATGTAAAGTTCTGGAAAAACTTCTCTTTTTAAATAAAGAAAAAGAGAAATAAGTACAATTCTTTGTTTTGTATACATATTTATTGCTGTAGTTTCTTACATTTTTTATCATTAATGATGCACAGAATCAGGTTTTATCTGTTTTTTTCCGACAAAAAACCATTATAATTCCAAATAGTTTTTTAACAAGATGTGTTAGAAGAGGAAATCGGACTTTGCCCTCCTTTATTTCGGAGAAATTTGAGTGTGAAATTTTGCTTGTGCCAAAAAAGATCCAGTTTACAGACGGAGGATTAAAACGTATGGGTTAAAACACGGAGTGCATAAAAGAAGATTATATGCGAACGTGGAGCTGCTTGTCGAAGATCGACTAGAGAGAATCAATCTTCTTGAGGCGAACGAACGAGTGATTCTCGAGCGGTGTAAATCGCGATGGGAAAAGGGCGCGGTGAGAGAAATAATCGCGAAACACCTCCGCGGTTTCGTGCCACGATCGCGGAAACGATCGACAGCGGCGGCTGCACCGTCTCGTGTGGCGATCGCACTAAATTGCACTGACGACGAGGGAGCCTGGTTTTCTGTAATGGATCTTCGCTCACGCGTGGCTGGCAAAATACGCGCGAACCGTGAAACCAGCAGACGCCTACCGTTGCATTCCATGGTGCGCGTTCCGTGGCGCGCACAATTGAGGCATTTGCTAGGAACATCGCAACCGCCAGCCGGGTCGCATACCGTCGTAAAGTTCAGCCGAGAGGGCCATATCGTTAACGTTTATGAGTTGGTTGACACCGACGAATACCCAGCTAAGTCTGTACGACATTGCGCGCGGTAAAGCCGATAGACGTCAGCGCAATTTCGCAGATACTTATCGGATGCACTCGAGGATAATTTATGTCTGAAAGCCAAACAGGGCGGGAAAACTTCTAAGAAATCTGAAGGAAAAATCGAAAAGAAAATATATTATAAGCATAAAATATTACAACTTAGAAAGAAAAAATTGACAGTTTCGTAAAGCAGATAGATGTCTCGCGTTACTTTCTTATCACAAGTTAATTTAGTTAAAATTGAACCTGACATCAAGGATAAAAAAGGCTATTTTTAATGTTGATTACTTTTGGCATTTAGATAAACACATAAATAAAAATTGTGATCAAACTTTGTATCACCCTGTATACTTATAGTCTGTTTATTATTTGGATCAATGTTAATATCTCATATATATTCCTAATTAATACTAATCCATGCAGTTTATGTACATCACGTTATTATACCGGATTTAATCTTCTTCGAAAAGCGAATCAATGAAACTAGCACGACATTCTATTAATATAAAAAAAATAATGACAGTTCTAGTAGCACTTTTTATAGTTCTATACAGTTCTATCTAAAAATAAAAAACAGTTCCTCATTTTTTATATTCCAAATATGGAAAAAACCAAATATGGAAATATGTCGTGAACTCTGCTAGAACTAACTGTCGCTAAAACTGTTATAAGCACGACACTTTCTTAAAATGTCGGGCCGTTTTCTACATATATGTAAAATGTATAAAAATTGGAAATTGTTGGAATTCTGTTTTCAAAATATAATATATTAGTAGATCTTTGGTAGAGCTATCGGGAATTGTTGCTAAAACCCTGGTTCATAAGTCGAAATCAAGTTAATATCGATTGATTTTTCGGACTGTTTGATTTGATATCGACTATATTTTCTATTGATCTTCGAAGAAGATCGACATTTTATCAACGCTGCATCGAGAAGATCGACGTTTTATCAACGCAGCATCGATAAAATATCGATCTTCTTTCGAAGATTAATAGAATATGTAGTAGATATCAAATCAAACGGTCCTAAAAATCAATCGATTTCAAATCGACTTGTGAACCCAGGAAGTGCTAACATTTATCATTTTCTTGTATTTTAAAGGAAAATTGTCGTGCTAGATTCGCAAAATTAGCACTCCATATTTTCATATTTGGTTTTTTCACATGCAAAAAATGCGGAACTTTATTTTATTTTTCGGTAGAACTATAGAACACTATGAAAAGTGCTACTGGAACTGTCATTATTTCTTTTTTATATCGATAGAATGTCGTGATAGCTTCACAGATCCTCGAAAAGCAGCACCTTTTCAAAAACGCAGACACAAAAGACGCTTCGCTGCGAAAGTGCAAGAATCGCACGATTGTATTTCGATTTAGAAATAGCTTTGAATCTTGTGCTGTGCATCAACGAGAAAGAGGTATCGCTTTGACTCACTGGACCGCGAAAATATAGCCCACGTCTTCCATTTTTCTGTTCACTCTCCCATTTTCTCTCGCCTCGCTTCTTCTCCGTATATCTCACCCACGCGCAGTATAAAGACATCATCATTTGTATGCGGCTGGTTCTTTTCGATGTAGGTTAATGGTATATGGTCCACGGAGGTCTCTCTGTTGCTCGGTACCTCTGGCAACTGGCTCACGCATGTATTTCTGTTTTTTTTTTTTTTTTATTATAATAACACGGAAAGTTACTTCGCAGACGCAATCTACGTTATTACATATAAAATATCGATGAGAATTAAGAAGAATGTGACACCTACGATACGGAAGAAATTGGATCAGTGAATTAATAAGGATTTTTAAGTAAAGAGTGAAAATCGCGAAATATGATGAAAACAAAAATGACATAAAATATTTCCGTTTTCTAATGAAGATGATCGCGACAGGATTTTTTGCGGTTCAACAATCGATTCGATCCATCATTTCGAAGTGAATATTACTTTGCGCGTTTACGTACTTCGTACGAAACGCTCCGGCCGTCTCTCGCCTGCAAAAGAAAAAAGTAAAATAAAAATTATATCTAAATTAATTGCTGGCGGATGGTCCGGCGTGTCCGAAGGCGAGTTCGGTAATCGAATCTCTTGCTCGTGACCTTACTCGCCGATGAAACTGCAAACCGCCGCACGGCCGACCGGCCTTGTAATTGAATCCTTGATTGCTTTTTGTTTGAATTACACTCCGGCCGTCGTGTACCCCTGTTTGCACTGGACTGACACACGCACTCGCGCACCCCTGACCTTAACCGAGCGAGAGGATCCTCCGTGAATGAAACATCGCGAAAATTGCGAGGCACGTGGTGACATGAAACGTTCCTTCGTGAGAGTCCAGTTGTATCGGATTTGCCTAAATGTATAGGGTTATACATTTATAAAACGATCTCTAAACGCACAATATTATTATACAAATATTTTGTACAGTATCGATTTACAGTAACTCCTTTTAAACAATTTAAAACAAACAATTTCTGAATATAGCCATCAAATGATCAATACATACAGAAAAATATCAGGGTTATCACAGATCTGGAAAACCAGGAAAAGCCAGGGAAATTGAAATTGGTCATGGAAAACCAAGAAAAGTCAGGGGAAAATGTAAAAAAGTGGAATTTTGAAATTTGCTCAGAATCTCCTTAAACTGCTCCTATTTTAGATAATTGTTATAATTTTTTTATATTATTTCTGACGTTTGTAGTGAAATACGTTCAAAACTCGCACACTTTGAACGATTTTAATAAAATAATTAAAATTTATATTTTATTCAGTATTTTTTTTTTGCTTGAATTTGCACCCAAAATTTTAGTGTGCTATTAACCTTTTTTGCGTCGTTTTTAATAATATATGCTATTTTTCCTACAATTCATGACTTTAAATATGTTAAAATTTATATATTTTATATTGGAAAATTTTCCATTTTCATCTGGAAAACCTGGAAAAATCAGGGAATTAAAAAATTTATTTTCTGTGGCAACCCTGAATATTATTTTATTGATAAAAAAAGTGATTATTCACTTTACTTTCTTTCTTTTAAGTAATAGTTATCTTTAACATAGAATATTTTTTATAATAATCTTAAAATATACTTATCACAAATTTTAGAAGAAACTTATTATTATATACTCGAAACCAGAATTTGTTTTAACTCTTTGTTACCGCATGTTTTTATGTTTGTCTTTATTGCACAGAAATATACCTGACAGTATTCAAGTGTCTCTAATTTTCGGTAAAATGCACTGATTAAACTAAATGTATAAAATCTTTATTTTAGAGGATCTAAAGAAGAGCTCCATTTAAGTAAAGTTGTAAGTTGTAAAAAAAAGTAACTAATAAAAGTGAACTTTTCGAACCATCACGGAAATCACAAATATACTTTTTAAAAAAATTATTAATAGTATTTAATATAGAAATAAAAATAAAGGGACTAAATGAATGAACTGTTGAAAGTCTATATTTTAGTTAAAAACATGCGTCAAAATATTTCCGTGCAAGTCTATTTATTTCGACAAATGAAATTGCACAATTTTTTATAGAAAGGCACAATTACTAACGCTTTTTCGCACAAACTGATAACGCTAGATAAGGGAAAATATACGTTGAACACTTAACTTTTATCTCCTACATCAAAGTCCCCTCACCTTCCTGTTTCTATGAATGCTGTGCAATTTTCAATCGTTCTGGGTACGCTATACCCCGTACAATAACTGAGAGTTAAAATATTTTATAAAATTAATCGAAGAAGGAGGGACTTTATATAATAAGCAAATCGAATTTTAATTTAATAACCTGATTGAAGTATTAAACTAGGATTCGAAATTATATTTTAAATCAATTTAAAGCTAGTTATGAACTTAACAGTCTTGCGGAGATACGAACTTTTGAAATACTTGAAACAAATAATTATTTACGTACAGCATGTATTATTTTGTGTTTATCATTGTGCAATAATATATTGATCGGTCTAAGGACTGCTTAAGCGCCCAGTGATTGTCTATCAACGATTTTCAACATTTTTTATTAATCACAAGAAGCGGAAGAATACAACATAGAGAACTGAAGATACGGCATAAGTTCTCCCTTCGGGCTCATGAGTTTAGGATTTTGAGGGTTTTGGCCCACATGTCGGTACCGGATCCGTGCCACAAGTGCCACTGTTACAATGAGGTAGTGCCATCTCACAGGGTCTGCCATCGGGACAAGACGGTGCGTCTTCACAGTTTTTCCCTGGCAGGTGAATGTATTCATCATCCTCTGCCATGATCGTCGTCGAGAATACGACGGCAATGACCATCAGCAGGGTAATAATTGATTTCATCCTTGATCGACTTCAATCACCTGTCATGCGAGACTATGATACATTATTGTGCAATATGATGATATCATAAAATAATGATGACATTACGATGATATTATAAAATAATAATGCGAATAAAAAATACGACAAATAAGTCAAATTGAAAAAACTAATTTATAATAGTTTAATTGAGAAACTGAGTAAAGATTGAAGTGTGTAATGAAAAAAAATACACAAAATGTCTTCCACTATTGTCGATGTGACAGCGAAACGCAATTTACGTTGTCATACAGAAAATAATGAGGCAAATTAAGAATATGATATACGGTATAAGAAATATGGTATAAGAAAAATAGGGGAGGACTAGCGAGTTAATAAAGATTAAAAATTTTTGATAAGATGAAGTCGCGAACTAAAATGAAGAAAAATTACATAAAATACAGCCGTGTCCAAAATTATTAAACACCCTGCACTTTAACTAATTAATACACTCTAAAAAAAATACGTCTAGCTTTAATACCATGCGGTGTCTACATAATTTTCACCGTGTTGGTGTTAAATGTTAATATTAACGATGAGAATTATATGGACACATAGTGTTAACTCTACATCTGTATTTTTTAGTGTATTAATTAATTTTCTAAAAAGTGATGAATTACTTTTTCTTTTAATAATTTCTTAGAATTAGTTAAGATCCATGCATAAATACTTTCTTGCAATTTATCGCCTAATTGTGTTAAAAATTCCATCCTAGTATGACATAGTTTTTAAAAAATAGATATAGATTAGCAAACCAACACACAAAGTCCTAACCTCGACCTGATTAAACATTTATGGGTTTACTTAAAGAAAAACGTTTTTGTAATTAAAAGTACACTTCGAAGCAAGACACAAATTGTGATTATAGAAGAATGAGGGCGGAATCCACACACTTGCAAAAAACTAGTAAAGTTTTTAAAAAAAGATTGCAGAAGTTTTAAGACGAAAGCAAAGAGAGTATAATAAAATATTAAATATTTATATTTAATATTAATTTCATTGATTGTGATTGATTGATATATTAATAAATAAAGCCGTACAAACTTTTTTATTTTTAACAAAAATAATACCGATTTATAGACCCTCGATAATTAAAAGTAACAAGAAAACAAAACGAGCAATTTTTTGTTTTTATTTTGATTTACATACTAAGAATTATGAAATTTATAAGGCTTAATAATTTTGGTTGTATTTTCAGTATTTATGAAGATGACTACGACAGGATTTTTCTCGATTTGCGATGCGACGTTACCTGAGTTCTGAACACAAAATCTCCGTAGCACCAACGATACTCCAGAAATGAATGTTCACATTACCGCGCAACCGACGCGTTTTTATCTGTTACGACCTACCCCTCGCTTCCTCTTCACAGATCGCTCTTTGATTACGTGACCCGATAATCGCCGATGTCTCATAACGTCCGATACGGCTGGCTGCGCGTGAGAAGGACGCCCGTATTTGGATGCGTTATTTTACGCACTTCCCGCGTGAATAAAAAGAAATCGCGATTGTCCGCTGAAAGAGGAAGCGAACGGACGAACAACGTGCCCTGATCTGCGCCGTTGATAATTCTACCGTTTAATTTCCTCTACAATAACTGAGAGATTTCGCTCAATTCGCGGAAATGATCCCTCAGCAAAATTACATAACCGAATACAAATGAGCAAACAGATCTGACTCACGCTAAGTTATCTGCGCGTTATTTTAGCGCATTAAGCCTTTCATGATGTTTGCATCTATTTGCAATAAGAGCTGCATTGAATTAACTCGATTGAATTGATCTGCGAACCATAAATAGATGTAAGACTCTCATTTATACTAAATATACGTTAAACGAAATTAAGACTCGCTGTAGATGATCTATAATTAATTTTTAAATGAATAGGTGCATAGCATTTTTAGGCAGAACTTTTTAGAAATCTTGTTCTAAAAGGAAAACAAAAATATTTTTTCAAATGCTCCAGAAGTCTCAAAGTTCATTATTTTTACCAGATTGAGCATCAAATTATTAAATTGCTTATCAATTTAATTTGTGATATTACTATATCTAGTAGTTTGATTGCGTTTATAAGTTCGAAAAATCATTTCGACGCGCAGCGTTCAAATAGCTACATATTTAGTATATAAATTCACATAGAAATTATTTAAAAGCATTAAAAATCTATACTGAAAAAAAATTTGCTAAATCTGAGTAAATATTTCTTTGAATAGTTCCAAGTAAATATTTACTAAATGTAAACATATATTTATTTGATACCATTAATTTGATTTAAGTATCATTATATTTTATTGAGCAAATATTTTTTTGCTCTAAATGAATGTTTACTTGGAACCATTCAAAGAAACATTTACTCAGATTTAGCAAATTTTTTTTTGTAGCTTTTACTGGTATAGGCTTCTAATTTATTGTGTTCTCAATGTATGGTCTAAAATAAGATTCTTATTGTTTACTCATTGTTTTTACATTCTTCTTTTTCATAAGAGTATAACTAACGTAAATTGAACTATAACATAAATATAGTAATAAAACATGACTATAAAAATAAAATAAATTACAAGTTATTTAATAACGAGCGATTGAGAACATATGTATCGCGGTACTTCGTGCGTTTTGAACTTACTGTTTATTACAATTTTGCCTTTCCTATTTTATATTCAGACGTTTCGGCACTTTTTGAAACATCATCAGCGAATTGCGATTAACTTCTAACGATAATCGCAGTAAATTTCGGTTTAAGTTTGCAGCTGAGTGTACGTCTTCAGTTTGAGTGAAGATTCATTCACAGAAAAGATTTCTAGAGGAAAGGCCCCTATTATAAGATACCGAGTTCATTTTGGGTAAATGCTAGAAGTCTATAGGCAGAATTTAAAATAATAATAGGTCATTTTGAAAGGAATTTAATAAACTTTAAGATAACGTTACATAAAATTTAATTCAAGTTTCATATTTTTTTGAAAATTAAAGAAATGTAAAAAGTGAGCAAATCGCGAAGTCGAAAAATTGTGCTCCTAATATGAGATGCCCCGAGAAATCGATAGTAAAATGCAAAGTATATCAGTATTGCAATTAAAAAACTTTATTTAATATTTCTAAAATACAAACAAACACAGCCAGCATGAGCGAAAAATGAGCATGCGATAGATTATACCCAGATTATACTCGTTTTCAGGTAGTTGGAATCAAACATCACAGATATAGGCACTCGACGTTCATTCCGGTTGTCTCTTTTATTATTGTACAATAATATTTATACTTTAGTAACGATTTTCACTATAACATAGGAGCATGGGTTATTCATATTAGGAATACCCTGGGTATCTCATATTACGATTTCCACGCCTTATGGTTTTATGATCATCAACTCTAACTTCTGTATTTAAACATTTCAACATATCCCGTATTTTTCTATTAGTACGACCTTACTCTATCACTACATGAAGAATTTATTGCCAAATATTTATTTATTAAATCATAAACAAGGTTTAAATATTCATCTCAATGAAACTTAAAGACATCCAAATTCTAAAATCTTGTTTTACAATGACTACAGGCATGATCTAATAATGAATTTTCTACTAAATAGTTTTCAATCCAAGAGTAATAAATTCATGGTAGAACCAATAGATAACGTTTATTAGTTTAGCAGAAATACTGCTATCTCATATTAGGCGCCTATCTCATAATACTTTTCCTCTATATTCAATGCTATTACTCCTCGATCTGGAACAAAATAAGATCGATATAGAGTCAATCGTATTTATTTTTCAGAAAAGAATATTTTCTTCTTAAATAAAAAATTCTAAAATCTAGAATAAAATATTCTTGATGCTATCTCATTAATTTTCTACAAAAAACTAGGCTCGGTCAGGACTCGAACTCTCTCATTCCGCGTATTTCTCACTTAGCGTGTTACATCATGAAAGCTTCGCTGTATTGATGATCACGTATATAACACAGATAGACTTATATTAAACGTAAGAATATATAAATCTAAATTTATATGTGTTATAAATACTCGTCTCAAGACAAGATGTTGATCTTATTTTATTCGAGGGAGTAGAATAAAAATTATTGATTTAATTTTAATAGAGATATAATTTTATACTGTATACAGTGTTGAGCTAAGATTAAGTACGTCAAGAATTTTTTTTTCTCGATATTAGAAATCCTTTCTGAGAGTGTTGCAACCGTCATTTAGTTGTTCGACTAAGTGAGTGCCGCTGCACACTGTAACCGTACATTAGTGAGAATTTCGCTTTGTATCTCGCAACATTATTCAAATTCTTATTTATTTTTCTGTATCGACCTGTTCGGGTAATTTATAGTAGGATAATAATTAATGATGGCTCAAAAAGAGCCGAAACGTTTGAACGTAAAATAGGAAAGGAAAGATTGCAATAAATACTATAAATAGTAAATTCAAAAGTACTGCGATACAATCGCCCGTTATTAAATAACTTGTAATTTATTTTATTTCGAGAGCACAGTTGTTATAGATTGATTAGAATAAAATTTTTTGGAGTGTCCTGTACATTATACCTACACTGATAAAAATAAGACCGCCTTGTTACTACGAGAATCGGTAGTCATTTTTAACCCTCGATTGCGCAGTTAAAATACATGATTTGTAGTTTTACCTTTAAACATTACATTTACCATTCGAATGGAATGAAGTTTCCAGCAAATATTATTTAGGTATACTATTTGATAGTAAAATTCATATTTATTAGCAAATGAAATTTCTAGTAGGGGACAGTGGGGAGTTTTGAAGCATGGGGAGTTGCGAAGCACGGCCATAGATATCGCTTAGTTGTGGTTTTGATAGGTCTTACATACTGAAAAGATTGGTTCTCCTAATATCTCAGTTTTCTTGTAGCATTCATCCCGATAGCACACCTTTGTTGTATCTCTCCAGACAGTGTGTTCAACATTTTGTTCGGAAAGTTTTATTGAGCATTCGTGTTTGTGGCAGTTTCATAAACATTTTCAAGCGAATCGAAAAGGTGAGTGCACACAAATTAATCAACAATGATTAGGCTTTCGACGTTCAAATGTATTTATGCAAAAACATTCGATGTGTTACTGACGCGGTGGCAATTTTAAAATATAGCGATTTTTAGTCGTGCTTCACAATTCCCCACGATTTTTGAAAATTCCAAAAAGCAGTTTTTTGGGCCAACAGACAAAAATTGCCGATGACTTTGGATTTTATGCAAATCCATCAACCAGGAGGTGTATTTTAAGATGCTCTAGAGATTCGGTTAGATAAAATGTGAAAAAAAAAATTTTTTATGGTACTTTTGAGTCCCAAACAAAGCGTGCTTCAAAACTCCCCACTCTCTCCTAACTATGCATTTTACTATCACGTCGTGATTTTTACTATCAGACAGTAAACCCAAATAATGTTTACCGGAAACTTCATTCTATTTGAATGGCAAATGTAATGTTTAGAGGTAAAACCTCATCTACAGTATTTGCACGGGCTGTGTCGCATGTCGTATATGAGATTGGTTGCGTTCAGTGGACTCAACAATTTAATGATCATTCGCTGTTATTGATGTGTTCTTTTAGATTTTAGAAGAATACATTAATAACGAATGGTCATTCAATTGTTGAGTCCGCTGAACGCAGCCAATCTGAAGACACTGGTAGTGTCTCGGTGCTAAGCTACGCGCAGCGGACACTGCCGTGCCTCCTTTACGCGAACCGACGAGTTGCGCCAGATCGAGATTATCGAATTTCAATAACGGCTGAACCGATTGCGTTCTATGTATGCTCAATCAATAGCCATCACACGGATTGTATGATAAAAGTGCTTTTATTTTTTTTCTACGTGCTCTACGAGCGAAGATATCGCGACGCAAAGTTCCGAACTGCTACTTTTTCAGTTCAGATTCAGATACGTCGTTCTTATTGTCATTGTCATTGTCATTGTCGTCGATCACATTCCGCCCATTCCTTTGGTGTCCGTCTGACATTCTTTACGCAAGGAGCGCTAGTGATATACATGCGATCAGCGAGTGCTGCGATCTGTAGACACGACAATTATTATGGTACGTTTCCATGAGCGCGTCACGCGACGCGTCGTCCACCGCGTCAAGTGTTTTTACATGAAAAATTTTTCTATTTAAATTAAATTTTTTCATTTTATACAGTAAATTCTTTAATTTTTTGTGGTAACACTTAAATTGAGCAAGGTAACGCAATTTTGTGATAATGTTTTGTATAATGTTTTGAAGGATTAAATAACCACTACTTTAGTTGGAAGAGGAAATGTCTTTGAATGAAATGTGATATAATAATTTCATTTAAGAGGAATTT